CACTGACTGTTCTCTATGCACACTCTTTTTTCTAAGACATAATTCTAGAGCATGCCATTATGAAACGATGGTATCACAAGCTTCAGCTATTTGATGCTTATCTCTATGTGGGCGAATATAAAAAAATATGTATTACGATTGATTGTGCTAGTTTTGTACACTAATAAAGTTGATGACGTATATATACGTCGGCGTCAGTTAAAGGGTTAATTTAACATTTCAATGCGATTCAATTTTAATCAATCATCTTCAACTACATTTGATGAAAACTATCATCATCTTATAAATGATTCATCACAATATAAGATACACCGAATATTTCTGGCAAAATTCTAATGATTAAAGAACTCTTTTGAAGCAAAATCCAATGTTTGATTTTGTTTCTCATACACCACAGTTCAAGTCGAATGAAGAAAAGATCCTGGAAAACGAGTTTCAAAGAAAAATTAAATGATTCGAAATGATATACGAACAATTGATTATCAACAAAGTACATCAACCGAACACAATTTGAAACCAAAGAAAATTGACTTTCGGTTCTCAAACTAGTTAATGCATAACATATTCGAATAAACTGCGCTCAGTAGTAAGTATGTAATAAGGAGAAACGTCTTAGTTTTTACCTGTTTTAGTCGTGATAATATGAGATTCAGATTCCGATATGCATTCAACGACAAGAAGACATGTCAAATCAACTCATGACAATGTTCGTGAGACTCCTTCTTTCAATATATGTCAGATGATTGAAAACATGATTTCATTCCATTAATTATATATAAGCATGATCGTTGTAAAAAAAGTGGCATTGAAAAATCAATAGTAACACTATATCGCAACTTTTATGATTATGTTGCAACTTATTTGAATTGACTCATCGACTGTGCTCTGGTAGGTATCATATAAACGAATCCATCAAAAGTATATAGCTATATGAAAAGCAAACGTCATGAATATTTTCGTTCGTTCTCTTGCTTGGTTATGCATGAATGCTTTATCATTTTTACGTGTTTTCGTCACAACAACTCTTTAAATAGAAATGACACACGTTGGTGTATCAGTACGAAAAAAAAATGATGAATAAAGCGACGTAAATACATGACATATGAATAGTAGCGATTGCACTATTTTGTTTTTATTGCATTGAAGGTTGCATTACTTTATTTGTATGGACACATCAAACATGTATAGAAATACACAACAAGAAACTATTAATAGAACTGTCGGTAACCTGGAAGTTGAAGAAATATCTTCATCACATAAGATTTCTGTAAGTGTAAATTAAAAATACAAATATTCTATGGATCATTCTATATGTGATTTATCATTAATCAGATTCGATTAATAATTGCAGTTTTTTAATGCTGTTTTAAATAATTTGAAAAGTGTGTCTCTGCAAAATTTTACGAATAGTTTTCACAATTTCAAAATCATTGATATAATGTTTGAATTTTTTTATATAGGATACCACAGCGATAGAGTCATTACGACAGAGGAATGGTAGCCGGCGTATTATGGAAAATTATTTTCTCGTGTGTTTAGACGCCAATATTGATGAAACTCAAGAATTTCGTGATTCACTCGCTCAACTACAATCTATCGTCAATACGATTGATACATATACTGATACTGATGACTGTGTCAGCTATCTAAAAACCATTCAAGATGAAAAAATCTTTATGATTGTGTCGGGTGCTTTAAGTCAAACTTTTGTTCCACTCGTACATGACTTGTCTCAGCTAGATTCTATCTTCATCTTCTGTGAGGACAAAATTCGTCATGAGCAGTGGATAAACGATTGGTTCAAAGTGAAAGGCGTTTTCTCTCAGATAGATTCTATTTGCGATGGCCTACGACAAGCAATACACGTCGCTGATCAAAACTCTGTATCAATGAGTTTTCTTCCTACTTGTGAAGCATCATCGAATCAAAATATTATTCAACTCGATCCGACATTCTTATACACTCAACTGTTGAAAGAGGCTTTACTAGACATAAATTTTGAAGAATCACAGTCTATTCTAGAATTTGTGAACTTTTCTCGAAGTCGATGTGCCAAGAACGCAACTGAGTTAAACAAGATCGAACAATTCGAACACGGTTATCATGATCATACTCCTATTTGGTGGTACACATTCGAATGTTCGTTTCTCTATCGAACACTCAATCGCGCATTGGGTCTTCTCGAAGTAGACACCATTCTCAAGATGGGCTTCTTCATCCGTGATCTTCATCAAGATCTCGTGAAACTACACGGTCAACAACAATCATCGCCTGATCATAATACACTCACCTCATCTTTTGTTTATCGTGGCCAGGGATTATCTGAAGAAAACTTTAGTAAGCTGAAAAATTCTGTAGGAGGGCTAATGTCCTTCAATAATTTCCTTTCTACAAGTCAACAGCAACAAGTGGCATTAGAATTTATTCAGCAGGTTCGTGCCAAAGCTGATAAAATACCTGTGTTTTTCGTCATGACGATCAATCCGGCAATAACGGGGCCTACGACAACACCATTCGCCTTGATCGATCAAGTCAGCTGCTTTGAAGCCGAACGAGAAATACTCTTCTCTATGAACAGTGTCTTTCGTATCGATGAGATCAAAGAAATGGATGGCACTAATCAAGGTCTATGGCAAGTGAAACTTGCGCTCTCTAACAGTGATAGCGACCCATCATTTGCTGCACTCATTAATTGTTTGCGAGCAGAGAATACTGGATCGACTGGATGGACTCGTCTTGGGCAAGTGTTGATCAAACTCGGCAAATACGACAAAGCAGAAGAACTCTATCGAACGCTGATCGAAAACACCACCGATGAGAAATGGAATGCTCATTATTATTATATGCTCGGATTAGTCCTATATTCTCAAAGCGAGTATCAAAAAGCAATTTCATTCTACGTAAAGGCTGTGGAGATCTTTCAAAAAAGTGATCCCCCAAGATATTACGATTTAGCTACTGCTTATAACAATATCGGTTTGGTGTATTGCAGCGCAGGTGATTATCAAAAAGCACTAGCATTTTATGAAAAAGCTTTAGAGATAAAACAACAAATCTTTTCATCAAATGATCCACGTTTAACTTCTACATACAACAATATCGGCTTGGTGTATTCCAATCTTGCCAATTATATGCAAGCTCTGGTGTTTTATGAAAAATCGGTCGAAATCCAGAAAATATCACTCCCTGCTTATCATCCTGACTTAGCCAAGTCCTACAACTGTATAGCCGTGGCATACTTAAAGCTAGGGCAATTTACTAAATCACTCGAATATTATGACAAAATAGTTGATATACAGAAAAAATCCCTTCCACCCAATCATCCGGATACCGCTTCATCATATAACAACATGGGCGAGGTGTACAAGCACATGGGAGATTACGTGAAAGCTTTATCATATTATGAGCAAGCACTAGAGATGAGACAAAAATCTCTTTCTCCTAATGATCCGAATTTTGCTTTTTCTTATAACAGCATCGCAGAAGTATACTTAGCCATGGGCGATCATTCAAAATCACTTTCGTTTTTTGAGAAAACAATGGAAATCAAGAAGAAATGTTTGCCATCCAATCATCCAGATATCGCTGCTGGGTACATCAATATGGGCAATGTTTATTGTTGTAAGAGTGAATATTCGACAGCCATTTCATGTTTTGAAAAAGCAATCGAAATTCAAGAAGAGATGCTTACATCCGATCATTATAATTTGGTATCTTGCTACTACAACATTGGTGTACTCTATCATAACATGGGCAATTATCCAGCGGCACTGTCATCTCTTAAATATTGTTTCGAAATTCAGAATATGCCATTGGATACTGACAATCCAATGTATGCCTACCCGTACCACGCCTTAGGAAAAGTATATCAAAGTATGAACGATTATACAACAGCATTGGATTGTTATCAAAAAACACTTGACATTCGTGAACGTACACTTCCTTCTTAACATCCAGATTTAGCTGCTACATACAGTCACATCGGTGATATTCATCGTTTACTTGGTCACTACGAACAAGCTATGTCATTTCTTCGAAAAGCACTTGACATTCAAGAAAATGTGACGTGTAATAGATTGGAAATTGCTACGACATACATCAGTCTGGGCGAAATTCTTCGAGAAATGCAAGACTATTCATCTGCATTGACATATTATGAGAAAGCACTGGAAATTCGTGAGAAACTACTTCCAAAAATGCATTCTGACTTGGCTGTGATACATCATAGTTTGGCTCAAAATTATCATGCTACTCAAGAATATTCTTCGGCAATCGAGCATGCAAAACTCGCTGTTGAAATTGCCCAAAACAATTTGCCTGACCAGCATCCACATTTATTATACTACAAAGAGGCACTCGAAAAACTTCAAAAGAACTCGTAAATTATTGATTCAATAGTTTATTTCCTATGAAAAACGATGTATTAGATATCATTTGATTAACTATTTATTGCCTATATAAATAATATGAACACGCTCACTAAGATTCATTAACAGACACAAAAGCCGATTATAGGAATCCCTGGGGATATGATGCTTGATTCTCAGCACTGAGCACATGTCTCAAAACGTTTGTTTTACTGTGCTATGAAATAAGTTTTGCAAAGGTCTTTTTATTCCCATTGTTTATAATTAATGTGTGACTGTGAGTGCGGATATGGGTGTGTGAGTATGTCTGTGTGGTGGTTTTGGGTGTAGATGCAGGTGTTGGTGTGGGTGCGGATGAGTTTGGACGTGGATGTGGGTAAGTGTGAGTGAATAAATGAGCCATACCAACATCCACACCGAGAGATGGATGTTACACACAAGTGACAAAATGATCTGAAAACTGTGTAGTGCCCATGCTGTAGAAAATTAGAATTGCTACATTGTATTTTACATGCCTTGACTAGTACTGGAACACTGGCTATAGTCTCTTTATCTTAAGGAAGATGTACTTGAGTTTACTTCGGTAGGATCTCTGAAATCTTTTGCATGGTTATAGATAATGTGAAATTTCATTTAATTCAAAAAATGTCAACAAGATGCTGTTCGATAGTAATATTAACTGAAAGTGTCCTTATATTGATCAAGGCCCAGTGCAATATTAGCATTCAAATGGTATCATGATGCTGTCTCTTCCGATATATCTATTTTTTTAGAATCAAAATTGATCCGAAGGAATAAGCTCAGATGGCTGTCATTGCAAGACAGCTACCATTCTATAAATACAAGTTCTTTGTAGACTATTCTTCGTAACTCTAGTGGACTACAACTTATTTATAAATATAAATCGTTCTATAGTGGCTTGGGCGATCGGTTTCGTGGAATTATCATGTGCTTTATTCTAGCGCTGGTTTTTGATCGTCAATTTATGATTGATATGACTCATCCAGTTGATGTCACAAACTACTTGTTACCTAATATTTACAATTTGACGTTTGACAATAACATATCCAATTTGAATCTTTCTCGCAAAGTTATCCTTGTTATTAATAATGAATCCAGCTTTGCGAATCAAATTTGAAATACACAATTCACTGAGATTTTGGTAAAATATCGCGACATCGAATTATATACAAATACTGATTTGGTTTCTGATATTTTTCGAAAACCTCTTATTCAAAACAATAAAATAATTCGTATGCTCTTTCTCAATGTACCTTCAGAACAACTGACCTTGCACAGTTTATTTCCTTTTTTGTTTGAAATTCTATTTCAACCAAGCCTTGAAGTTGTCAATACATTACATCCTATTCTTCAAGATATCGAAAATGGCTACACGCTCATTTGCATACATTTTCCTACGGGACAGAACTTGTCTAATCTGTTGAATGCTAATTTCGGCGATTGAGCTACAATCGTTGAAAATATACTAGATTTCTTGAATAGAAGTAGTTTTCGATTTTTACATGTTGGGAGAATGCCGCACGAGTATTTTGACAGCTAGTGGATTTTCAACATTAGTCAATCGACGACGGACAGAACCAAACCATAACTTATTTAAATATGACGGCTCAAAGAGGCGAATCAAACGTTGCCACGATATCTACGAATATGCAGAACCATCTATCACGGATAAAGTTGTATCATATTGTAGAGTAGTTTTCAATTGTTCTTCTCACGAAATGTGAGTAGATACAAGGCGTGGGTGTGTACTTTCTCTTCATCCACATCCGGTAAAGAATAGAAACGTGAATGTTTTGACACTAAAAATAGGATTCTACAAGAAAAGAGTGTGGGTGTGGTTATGAAGTAGAGTGAGTGCAAGTTTTCCAGTTTATTAGCACCGGCATCTGACAACCACACTTGCATCCCAATAATTGCTTGACAATTTTTTGTGAAAACTTAAGAAGTTAAGTAGAATAAAAATCAAACGCTAATCTGATAGAAAATATTGTGAAAAGATAGTTTGACAGATGGGAAGCATTAATACTAGCAGATTGAAGTAAGTTTGAAAAAACATATCCTGATGTTTTCTTCTAGCTATGAACGGTGACAACCAAGAAAATGCACTGTACATACCATGAAGACAATTTGTAAGAAATGTAAAGAACGATTGGAATCATGAATAGGAGAAGCGGAAACTGATCTGATATAGTGGAAAGATCAACCGTAGCTCGAAATAAAATATGTAGTAGTTGGCGTGTCGCTCGAAGACTGTCTATATTTGAAACTACAATCTTGAAGATGCTAACCGATCGGTTTTTCGGTGCAGCAATCAAATTTTTCACGATACATGGATCAATCTTTCTGGCATTTATATATTACAAAGCCAGCCGTATTTATTGTTGAGACGTTACAAAATGGCAGACAATATTTATTTGAGATTAAATAATAAATATTTCATAAGTAGATTAACAATAAATATATGAAATTATGAAACGCTGTTTTAGTATAAATGTTTGTCTTTCGCGTGACACTTTTATTATTATTTAGAATCATTATACATAGCAGTGATTGGTCGATTTCTCTGCAGAACTCATATTTTATTTGTTGTTAAATTAGACATGAGAATAAGACTTTAATTTTGAGGCAAACAACGACGGATGAGTTTGAAAACTTCCTTACGAAAAATGGTACCAGTCAATGTATATAAAAAGAAGGTAGCTGTATGAGCGAAATATGTTATAGTATTTAGTGTTTCACGAGCATAATCTTCTTGGGCAAGCCGAAATGAGCTCTTTTTCACATTTGCAGTAAACGCTACATAGAGTCGATGGATAGAGGATGGTAAAATAAAGATTATGACGACGAATACTTGAGCAGCTAACATGCGCAAGAGTTGAGTATTTCTACGCTTAGAAACCTGATTGTTTTCATCAACCATCGAGACCACTTGACGATGCTGGCGAATATTGCTAAGTGTAAGAAAACCAAATAAAAGCATAAGAAAAATTGGACAAAGTGAGTATAGAGTCATATGCCAAAATGCAATGAACGTACGGTAGAATCCTGCTTGACTAGTGCATGATGAAAGAACGTTACCATATTGATCAACTGAATAGATTATTTCATAGTAAGCAAGCATATGACTGTACAAGACCATCATTGCAACGATAGTGATTACAATGACCACTCGTGCGGTTTTTACTGAACTTAAGTGACGAAGGCGTGCGTTTCCTGTACTGCGAAGATAGCGATCTACGCATGCAAATGCAATCAACCAACAAGATATGGCGCGCACCGTAAAGAAACTATAATATTCGATTTTACATATTCCAAGATTGATAAAAGACAGACCTATATTAAAACCATTCGTTAATATGCGCACAGGCAACACAATGAATTCAATAAATAAATTGAAAAATGTTGCAGACAAAAAGTAGAGTGTACATGGTTCGCCGCGCAGTGTCGGACGAGTAAAAACATACACATTTAAGATGAGGCCAACTGCACCTGGTACAAAACTGGCAATAGATAACACAAGTACAGTTATTGATGTTGCCGTACTCAGCTGTTTGACCGTATCGTTAATATTCGACATGGACTTAACGTAAGTGTCCTTTCTTCAGCGTACGCGTATGATCAAAATCTAATAAATAGAAAAATAACATCTCATCTTCGTCTACTGTTAACACGTTCGAGGCGGGATCCTCTTATTCGGAATAATCCAAATAGAAAACATCTCTTTTAATAGATAAATATGGTATAGATGCAGAGATTCTTATGTCCAATGTCTATCTATCATTTCAAACTAAGGGAAGATCAGAAAAAGTCGAAACAACGACAGTTAATTTTGATGCTACACTATAAGATCTTCAAAATTTTACTGTATCCTAATTATCATGTTTGCATTAAACGCCATTTTGTAAGCGCAGATAAAACAACAGTGATTTTCCATTGCTGTTCAGCAATAGTATGATAACAAATCTGGTTGTTTCAACTCATATGACCTCGTCGACTCAATAAAAAAAAAAAAATTTAATGCAGCTGTATAGTTCTATGTGGTTCTAAAAACTTGTTCACAAAACAACTACTACAGTGTCACAATGAACGGGAAGAGGTAGTTCATTGCCATCCTCGGTAATGATGTTTATTCGCTATTTCACATCTCTACAATGTGTCTACAATACATCCCACACACGCTTATATAAGGAAGATCAGGAGAAAGGGAGATTAACAGAAAAAAGAGCAATAGAGAGAAAATAAAGAGAAAAGAGGAAGAAAGATCAGTTGTAGGGGGTTTCAATGTCAGCACATACAGGAAAACGTGAAGCTAGGTTTGCTCACAAACAATCTTCACTATGGTTTAAATGAACGTGAAGCAGTAATATAGCAGTCAATCGAATGGCATTCAGAAAAGGTCTTTTGTTACGATAGCAGTAACTATCTAATGAAACATCAATGCCATGCAAAACTGAAAAAGTGTTAAACAGATTCACATATCTGCCCGTGTAACCATGTTTCTGTTCGTAACGTGCTACTGAGTGTTTAAACTGCTGTAAATCAAACGCGTTTCTCATCGTTCA